GAACGCAGAGCCTCTTTTGAATCTTTGCAGCAACGGACAGGCCTTCTTCCGTCATGTGCTCCGGCCCGCGCAAGCCGTCGACCCCGCCGCCGGTGGCGGCGGCGCCCAAGGATTCGGCGGCCATGGCCTCGCTCCTCCTGGAGCTGGCGGCGGCGGACGACGTGGTGGAGTTCAGGCGGGTCGTGGAGGAGGAGAAGGCGTGCCTTGATGCCGCGGGGTCGTGGTATGGGCCCTCGGCGGCCGGCCTTGGCCGGCTGGCCGCGGAGAGCCGGACGCCGGCCATGGTCGCCGCGCTCTACGGGAGCACGGCCGTGCTGGCGCACGCGCTGTCCGTCGCGCCGGGCGAGGCCTGCCGCGCGTCCGGCACGGACGGCGCCACCGCGCTCCACCTGGCTGCGGCCGGTGGCGCGGCCAACGCCGTCGCGGCCACGCACCTGCTGCTCGCCGCGGGGGCCTCCACGGAGACGCTCTCGGTGTCCGGGCTCCGCGCCGGGGACCTGCTCCCGCGTGCCGCAGGCGTGGCCGAGAAGCCTCTCCGCCTGCTGCTCAAGTCCCCCGCCGTGTCGCCCTCCTCGTCGCCCAAGAAGTCCGCCTCGCCGCCGGCGATGGTCGCCGCGCAGGAGCCGAGGAAGGAGTACCCGCCGGACCTCACGCTGCCGGACCTCAAGAGCGGGCTCTTCAGCACCGACGAGTTCCGCATGTACAGCTTCAAGGTGAAGCCCTGCTCCCGCGCCTACTCCCACGACTGGACCGAGTGCCCCTTCGTGCACCCCGGCGAGAACGCCCGCCGCCGCGACCCGCGCCGCTACTCCTACAGCTGCGTGCCCTGCCCGGAGTTCCGCAAGGGCGGGTCGTGCCGCAAGGGCGACGGCTGCGAGTACGCGCACGGCGTCTTCGAGTGCTGGCTCCACCCGGCGCAGTACCGGACGCGCCTCTGCAAGGACGAGGTCGGCTGCGCGCGCCGCATCTGCTTCTTCGCACACAGGCGCGACGAGCTCCGCTCCGTCAACCCATCCGCCGTCTCCGTGGGCATGATGCAGCCCGTGTCCCCGCGCTCCTCGCCCCCCAACGGGATGGACATGGGGATGCTCAACCCCGCGGGGTGGCCGTCGTCTCCGGTCAGCCGGCTCAAGACGGCGCGGGAGCTCGACTTCGACCTGGAGATGCTCGCGCTGGACCAGTACCAGCAGAAGCTGTTCGACAAGGTGTCCAACAACGCGCACTCGCCGAGGGCAAGCTGGGGCGCGCCCAACGGCGGCCTCGGCTCGCCGCACGCCGCCGGGTCGCCCGCCAGAAACATGCCGGACTACACCGACCTGCTCGGCTCCATGGACCCGGCCATGCTCTCCCAGCTCCACGCGCTGTCGCTGAAGCAGGCGGGCGACATGTCGCCGTACAGCTCCATGCCGGACACGCAGCTGCACATGCCGACCTCGCCGATGGTGGGCGCGAACAACTCGTTCGGCATCGACCACTCCATGGCCAAGGCCATCATGACCTCCCGCGCCTCCGCGTTCGCCAAGCGTAGCCAGAGCTTCATCGACCGCGGCGCGCGCGCCCCGGCCGCGCGCTCCCTGATGTCGCCGGCCACCACGATCGGCGAGCCTTCCATGCTCACGGACTGGGGCTCTCCCAGCGGCGGCGGCAATCTGGACTGGGGCTCGCCCGGTGGCAAGCTGGACTGGGGCGTGCAGGGCGACGAGCTGCACAAGTTCCGCAAGTCGGCGTCCTTCGGGTTCCGCGGGCAATCCGCCATGCCGGCGGCCTCCCCAGCCACCCCGGCCGAACCCGACGTCTCATGGGTGAACTCTCTTGTCAAGGATGGCCACACAGGCGACCATTTTCCGCAGTGGCTGGAGCAGGAGCAGATGGTGGCCTAATCCCAACCCCGTCGACGATCGATCACTTGGCTCATAGCGTCTAGCTGACCAAAGTTCTTTCCTTCAATTTTTTTCACCCTTTTTATTTGCTTAATTTGATTCATATGAGATGGTTCTTTA